CTCTGGCAAAACAGTGAGTTGAAATAATGGTAAAAGGGTTTGTTTTTCTGGTCAACCTGCCTCGGTGGAACACGGCCAGTGTTAAAAAAAATACACATACACATGCACAGTCTCTAGATTGTCAATCAGGAACTGATATTCTATAACATTTTGCTGTATGATGCTCGAAGAATTGTGGCAATTTTTCAGTCATGACACCACAATTTTTATTTATGATGGTGTAACTATAGGGAAAATAGCTAAAAGCCCATGTAAGGTGGCTAGTAACTATGTACTAATTTTACTGTAACTACACATTACTATGCAATTAACTGTCCTTCACTTAATCTATTTGTATTTACACGAATGTTGAATGTGTTAGTGATTGATATTATCATTCTAATTATGGGGGAGCGCTAAACCCGTAGGATTATACAGCGCATGTGGGGGGGGATGGAAGGTATTCAGGTTCAATTCAGGGAACTGGAACACAGATCTGATTCCCTATATCAAGAACCCCTCACCAGCATCAAGGAACCTCCCTTGAGGGGTGTGATTGATATTAGTGTGGAAAGTATACTTAAGTAAACAAAAAATTGTAGGGATAATCTTGTGGCACTGCCATGATAAATATTTGTTTATAGTTCAGGGGGCCACAACAGTTTACACCATTTATATAGTCACCAGTGGAGTCAGAAAAACCAAATGTGATTAAATTAGTTGTTTTCTGCACACCAGTCAATACAATGTGTTCATACCGTTTTCATCATCAGGGCTACTATATGAGACCCCAAAATTTAAATCTTTCGGCTTCCTTCCATTTGGATAACCAGGGTTATGAGCAGAAACTAAATATACATGTGAATACAGTATCCTGTGCATCAGTTGAGGTGTTAAACTTTGTGAAAATAAATGACACATTGTGGGTTCACAGGAACTGCTCCAGTCCATTGGCTTAGTGCTTCTTTTTGATTATAATAATAATAATGCTCCAGTCCATGAGAGTGACTCCCATATATCTGCTTTTCTTCCTTTGCATATTCAAGGTTAAAAAATAAAAGGAACCTAGATGTAATGTGTACATAGTACCTACTTCATATACATTTGTGCATCAGTTTAGTTAATACACTTGTATTTTGTGATAAACAAGGACGTGTGAGAGGTTGGTGGGGGTGGTTGAGGGCCACCACAGTGAGAGCCTCCCACTACCCTCTGCTCCTTATTACTATTATTTATATTATTGAAATTGCAAGGGAAATGATACTTTTATTATAATTTTTTATTTAAATAAATTTATTATGTTTTAAATAGTTTATATTTACAAAAGCATTCTGGCAGTTAATTTCATAGCAAAGAGATGAACACAATGACCCTTGGACCATTGCAATCCTTAACCCTTTCACTGGCTGTCACATAGACCTATGCTGAAGAATTGAGACACTTATGCAACATATGGATATCTTTATTGAAGAAACGTTTCACCACACAGTGGCTTCATCAATCTTATACAAAGCAGGAAGGTATGAGGAGAGGAGGAGTTTGAGGTAATCAGTCCCTCAGCCTGGAGTCTGTGTGTTCAGTCCATCAACCTTGTAGAAAGTACAGCACAGGGCCATAGCAGTGATGATGGGATCTTGATACAAAGACTTCTTCAAAACTTGTCCAATCTTAGGACGAAGACCTATGGTTCCACAATGACCCCGGCTCCTGCTTCACCTTACCTGACTACAGTATATAAGCCACTGCTATGGCCCTGTTCTGTACTTTCTACAAGATTGATGGACTGAACACATCGACTTCAGGCTGAGGGACTGATTACCTCAAACTCCTCCTCTCCTTATACCTTCCTGCTTTGTTTAAGACTGATGAAGCCAGTGTGTGGCAAAACTCTTCTTCAATAAAGATCCCCATATGTTGCATAAGTGTCTCAATTCTTCAACTTGTCAGTTTTCAAAACCATTCATCACACAGACCTATGCTATTGAAGCCAAGGTCCCTCACGTAGTCTTATGCCATGATTATTATTATAATAAAAAAGAAGCGCTAAACCACAAGGGCTATACAGCCTTATGCCATGAGCTCAGCCCCCTCAAATAAGCTGAGAGCATAAATTTTGTCTTAGATATGAGAGAATGTGTCTGTGCACAGTATTAAGAAATATTTGATTTTTGCCAATTTTCCTGAGGATGGGTGAGCCTCCCTTCCCCCAAAGTTTGTTTTATGGGTTTTTTAATAAGTGATTAATTTATTGGGATACTGTAAACCATGACCCATCATCCCTGGTTAGGTTTTATTATCCAGGGAAATAAAGTAAATCTGTTTTTGTGAATGTGAATTCAAAATGGAAGACAAGTGTGATATAGGAGAGGCCTGGGGATGTGATTAATAAACAAAGGAAATGTTTTAGTGCCAGGAATGTTTACATTGTTTTGCACTCTCTTTAAACTGGTATTTTTGTGTGTAAAATTGGATAAATTATAGACTTCTGTGCACTTTATAGGGTAGTTGTAATAATTGAATGGATGGTTTCTTGTGCTCAATAGAACACAAGGCATACTAGCAAAATAGCTAAGTTTCTGGATCAGTGAAATACTACTTAAAATAGGAAAAGTTGGCAAAACTGGCAATGCATAAAATACACCCAGAGTGCTTTGTGCCTGTTTAATTTTAAGTTTTCCATCATTAATTTTGGGGGTTGAGACAGTGAAAGGATAAATCCAACAACAACAACAGGACAGGCTGATAACCTGAACAGGTTTTCTTGTAATTTTATAATTTTTTGGGGGGATGGGGGATGGTGTTATGGGGCTATAGGATCCAACATGTATTTATAAGTAACAGTTACTCTGGAATACCTAATTATATTGAATTGATGGGGACTCAGCTCTAAATGTCATAAAGGCAGATCACTCTTATGGCTGTAAGGCAGCTGAGTCAAGTCTGTTTTTCTCAATATAATAGGTTACACTATAGACACACAAACACAATTTAAATAAGTAGTTTAAAGTTGTAATTCTTTTTGTAAAAGTAAAATTAAGGTGTGGTAGAAGTGTGGTAACTGGAGAATTGTGCTTGGCAACAGTCTTTTGTTGGTGTGGGAGGAGCTTGTTACTTATAAATACATGTTGGGTCCTATAGCCCCATAACAGATGGATAGATTGCATTCATATTATGGTGGGTATTACTCTGGGCATATTTATTTGGTAAAAGAAAATTGTCTTATGGCTGGTAATACATGGTATTTTTTACTGATGTTTGCAGGCGATTATGGTTATGGTGAAGATAGACATTATTTTCACAACTATTACATGCTTCAACAGGGTCACATCAACCCTTCCCAAATATTTCCATATCAACAAGCAATAACAACTATAGTGTAATGAAAAGAAAATTGATCATTTTTGAGTTCTGACAAATTACAGAGCTTCAACAATACAGTGGACCCTCAGCTAACGATATTAATCCGTTCCTGAAAACTCATTGTTAGCTAAAATTATCGTTAGCTGAATTAATTTTCCCCATAAGAAATAATGGAAATCAAATTAATCCATGCAAGGCACCCCAAAGTATGAAAAAAAATTTTTTTTTTTACTGGGAAGTACAATGCCTGCACTCTAAAGGAGGGGTTTCGGGATATTAGCAGTTTGGAGGGATATGTTGTGTATCTTTATACGTATATGCTTCTAAACTGTTGCGTTCTGAGCACCTCTGCAAAAACAGTGATTATGTGTGAGTGAGGTGAAAGTGTTGAAGGATGATGAAAGTATTTTCTTTCTTTTTGGGTCACCATGCCTCGTTGGGAGACGGCCGACTTGTTAAAAAAAAAAACTGTTCAAACGTAGATCTACGTTTTTTCAACATTTGAAAGTATGTAAAAAAAGTAGATCTTTTCTTTTTTTACATTTGAAAAAGTGTAAAAAAAAACTTTGATCTATTTTTTTTTTTTTTTATATTTGAAAATATATATGTATATGCTTCTAAACTGTTGTTTTCTGAGCACCTCTGCAAAAACAGTGATAATGTGTGAGTGTGGTGAAAGTGTTGAATGATGCTGAAAGTATTTCCTTTTTGGGGATTTTCTTTTTTTTTGGGTCACCCTGCCTCGGTGGGAGACGACCGACTTGTTGAAAAAAAAAAAAAACTTGAAAATATGTAAAAAAAAAACAGATCTACTTTTGGAGCACTATGCATGTGAACGTAGATCTGCTTGGACAGTTTAAGGGTTAATTTTAATACACACAAACTGACATTTACCTTTATTGAAGATCTGGTGATGATTGATGGGATGGGAGGAGGGGAGAGTGTGTAAGTTGTTACTGTTTAGAAGGGGACTTCCCTTCCATTAGGGCTTGAAGTATCAAGTCCTTTTCTGAGGTTACTTCCTTTCTTCTTTTAATGCCACTAGGACCAGCTTGGAAGTCACTGGACCTCTGTCGCACAACATATCTGTCCATAGAGGCCTGTACCTCCCGTTCCTTTATGATTTGTCTAAACTGGTTCACAACATTATCATTGTAATAGTCACCAGCACGGCTTGCAATAGCTGTGTGAGGGTGATTTTCATCCATAAAGGTTTGCACCTCAACCCACATTTCCTTAATCTCTTTCTTCATATCCATAATAATTCTCACCCTTTTTCCTGCAGGGTTGGCACTAGAAGCTTTCTTGGGGCCCATGGTGACTTATTTTGCAGGTACAATCACTAAAAACGCTGTGATAATATGAAATGTTTCGATTGTATGTGTGGATGCGACTTCACTGGATGGCTTGTAAACATTGGTGCACTCAGGCCAAACGTGGATGCGTCTCGAACGAATCGCGTTAGGCGAGTTTTTTAGTGTTAGCCGAGGCAAAATTTTTGCGTTAAATGTATAGATAGCTGGAGTTAACGTTAGGCGATGCCATCGTTAGCTGAGGGTCCACTGTAATTAGTTTTTTTTTGGTGGTGGTGGTGGTGGTGGTGGTGGTGGTGGTGGTGGTGGTGGTGTGGTGGTGGTGGGTGGTGGGGGGGGGGGGGGGGGGGGGGGGGGGGGGGGCTAATGACCATAGCCCTATTTTTCCCCATAGGTTCTTCAGTTCATTTTAGACGTGATTAGATGCTGTTTTCAGGAACATAACTACCACCTTAAATGATAGTCAATCATATATAAAATAAGGGCTGCAAAACTTTTTATCAAAACTTCGTAATAAAAAAAAATCTATATAAGGGCTAGGTTTGGATCAGAAAGTTTGACCTCAAACCAGGCTATAAGGGTAGAAAACTCACAAATCTATTACCCTTGGGTTAGACATTCTAACAATGTTAATACCTCAAAATTTTAAGGATATAAATTATTTGTCGTCAGTTCTATCTACTTTATTTTCAAAAAGTGACAGCAAAGAAATGTAGGAATGCGGCCACACCGAACAAACTTTAAATAAATATCATCAAAAGATATACAAAATAAATTTCTTACATCCTATTTTTACCAAAATTAGGTCTGAGAAACTTAGCTTAAAATATTCTTATAAACATACACTGAATGAGATAATTGGTTAATGGATAGAAATTGAAGATCTTTGTAAAATTTGTTTGTGCTAAAACTATATTAAAATACCAGCTTTGTCTACTTTTGTTCAAAAGATTACTACATTTTCTAGAAGAAAATGTAAAAACAAATCTAGTAGTATCTACAAATCTACTAATTGCATTTTTTCAATATATATTTTTGAAAAATACTAAGAAATACATTGCAGTTCAGATATCTTCTGCAATATATTTGTTGTTAATCAAATATTAGAAAAATACTAATGTATCTAATTAATGAAAAAATTAATCAGTTACATTGTTACTAGCATTACCAACCCTTTGTACTTGCAAAAATGCTGTTAACGCACACATGAAGTTGTAACTCCCATTACGCCTAATACAAAGGTGATGAGAAGATATAAAATGAAAATAATTAAAATTAAGATATAAAACTGAAAATAACCTTCATGTTAAAAAACATAATTTAAAATGAGAAATTTAATCTTTTTTTCTATTGAAAATAAATACTGAAGTCAGATTTTGCAATATACACATGACATTGTCCTTAAAATGTTAATAAAATTATCTCTTAATTTCATGGAAACTGCCAGTCATACAAATTTCCTTGCAACCAAGTGAAATTACTCTATTAATAATTATCGTCAGATTCTTCATCACTAAGAGTGTATGTAATTACTTTTTTTTGACGACCAGGTCGTTCCCGAGGTGGAGCATCTACAACATATGCATCGTCGTTTGTGTCGGGGCTTTTATTCTTGGTCTGAAAAAAGAATGAAATTGATATTAATCTGCACATAAAAATAATAATAGTAATAAAGAAAAAACTGATTAAATACACAATTTGCAACTAATCTTCCTTTTATCCTACACTTGTATATTAAATTAATCTTTAATAATCAGCACTTACTGCTGTAGAATAATTGTCAAACATGTCCTCAGAATCGGAATCGGCTTTTTTCTTTGCTGCTGCTGTTTTTTTAGGCCCAGATTTTTTCTTGGCTTTTGGAATATCATCATCAGAAACATCCCCTGAAGGCTTTGCAGTAGCCTTTTTCTTTGGTCCAGGTTTCTTCTTGGGTTTAGGGATATCATCATCAGAATCATCGAGTGTGACTGCTGCAGTAGCTTTTTTCTTGGGCCCTAATTTCTTCTTTGGCTTAGGGGAATCCTCATCACTGCTGTCATCACTCATTGCTCTCTTCTTAGGTGGGGCTTGTTTAACTAGAGGGAGAGAGAGAGAGAGAGAAAAGAAAAACATTTTTGTATTTGTCATTTACCTTCAACAGCTTCTGGTATTCACACTCATTACACTCAAAGATACCAGTAACGTTTATAAAAGTCTGGGTCTAATTACAGTTGACCCTTGAGCAACATGGGTTTGAATTGTGCAGGTCCACTTACACACAATATTATTTTCAAAAAATATATTGGAAAATTTTTTGGTTATTTACAACAATTTGAAAAAACTTCCAGTTGAACAGCATAGCCTAGAAATATTGAAAAAATTAACAAAAAGTTAGGTATGTTATGATGCATATAATATACATAGATACTGGTCTAGGTTGGTAGACAGCAACCACCCAGGGAAGTACTACCATCCTGCCAGATGACTGTGAAACAGAAACCTGTAACCGTAGGTAGGATTGCTGGTGTCTTTTTCTGTCTCATAAACACGCTAGATAACAGGGATATCTTGCTACTCCTACTTACACTTTGGTCACACTTCACAGACACGCACATGCATATATATATACATAAATCTAGGTTTTTCTCCTTTTTCTAAATAGCTCTTGTTCCTCTTTATTTCTTCTATTGTCCATGGGGAAGTGGAAAAGAATCTTTCCTCCATAACCCATGCGTGTCGTATGAGGTGACTAAAATGCCGGGAGCAATGGGCTAGTAACCCCTTCTCCTGTAAACATTTACTAAAAAAGAGAAGAAAAACTTTATAAAACTGGGATGCTCGAAAGTGCGTGGATGTAGTGCGGATGACAAGAAACAGATCATTGCTGATGTTATGAATGAAAAGAAGTTGGATGTCCTGGCCCTAAGAGAAAAAAAGCTGAAGGGGATAGGGGAGTTTCGGTGGGGAGAAATAAATGGGATTAAATCTGGAGTATCTGAGAGAGTTAGAGCTAAGGAAGAGGTAGCAATAATGTTGAAGGATCAGTTATGGAAGGAGAAAAGAGAATATGAATGTGTAAATTCAAGGATTATATGGGTTAAAGTAAAGGTTGGATGCGAAAAGTGGGTCATAATAAGCGTGTATGCACCTGGAGAAGAGAGGAATGTAGAGGAGAGAGAGATTTTGGGAGATGTTAAGTGAATGTATAGGAACCTTTGAACCAAGTGAGAGAGTAATTGTGGTAGGGGACCTGAATGCTAAAGTAGGAGAAACTTTTAGAGAGGGGGTGGTAGGTAAGTTTGGAGTGCCAGGTGTAAATGATAATGGGAGCCCTTTGATTGAACTTTGTATAGAAAGGGGTTTAGTTATAGGTAATACATATTTTAAGAAAAAGAGGATAAATAAGTATACAAGATATGATGTAGGGCGAAATAACAGTAGTTTGTTGGATTATGTATTGGTAGATAGAAGATTGTTGAGTAGACTTCAGGATGTACATGTTTATAGAGGGGCCACAGATATATCAGATTACTTTTTAGTTGTAGCTACACTGTGAGTAAAAGTTAGATGGGATACAAGGAGAATAGAAGCATCAGGGAAGAGAGAGGTAAAGGTTTATAAACTAAAAGAGGAGACAGTTAGGGTAAGATATAAACAGCTATTGGAGGATAGATGGGCTAATGAGAGCATAGGCAATGGGGTCGAAGAGGTATGGGGTAGGTTTAAAAATGTAGTGTTAGAGTGTTCAGCAGAAGTTTGTGGTTACAGGAAAGTGGGTGCGGGAGGGAAGAGGAGTGATTGGTGGAATGATGATGTAAAGAGAGTAGTAAGGGAGAAAAAGTTAGCATATGAGAAGTTTTTACGAAGTAGAAGTGATGCAAGGAGGGAAGAGTATATGGAGAAAAAGAGAGAGATTAAGAGAGTGGTGAAGCAATGTAAAAAGAGAGCAAATGAGAGAGTGGGTGAGATGCTATCAACAAATTTTGTTGAAAATAAGAAAAAGTTTTGGAGTGAGATTAACAAGTTAAGGAAGCCTAGAGAACAAATGGATTTGTCAGTTAAAAATAGGAGAGGAGAGTTAGAGGTATTGGGAAGATGGAGGGAATATTTTGAGGAATTGTTAAATGTTGATTGAGGAAGAGGCAGTTGTGAGTGTGGGGTAAGTTCGTGAGGCAGTAGGTAAAATGAAAGGGGGTAAAGCAGCTGGGATTGATGGGATAAAGATAGTAATGTTAAAAGCAGGTGGGGATATAGTTTTGGAGTGGTTGGTGCTATTATTTAACAAATGTATGGAAAATGGTAAGGTAACTAGGGACTGGCAGAGAGCATGCATAGTTCCTTTGTATAAAGGCAAAAGGGACAAAAGAGAGTGCAAAAATTATAGGGGGATAAGTCTGTTGAGTGGGATACAGCTGGTACGTTGACAGAAGAAAGAAGAAGTCTGTCGAGTATACCTGGCAAAGTGTATGGTAGAGTTATTATTGAAAGAATTAAGAATAAGACAGAGAACAGGACACCAGATGAACAAGGAGGCTTTAGGAAAGGTAGGGGATATACCTTACATTACCTTTGAAGAATTTTGAGAGTATATCTACTCTCTGAGCCCGGCCATGGGCCAGGCTCGTCTGGTGCTCGCCTGATCAACCAGGCTATTGCTGCTGGAGGCCCGCTGCCCCACATATCCATCACAGCCTGGTTGATCTGGAACCTGGTGAAGATACTTGTCTACTTTCTTCTTGAAGGCTTCAACACTTGTTCCAGCAGTGTTTCTGATATCTTCTGGTAAGATGTTGAAAAGTCTGGGACCCCGTATGTTGATACAGTGTTCCCTTATTGTCCCCGCTGCACCCCTGCTCCTCACTGGGTTTATTTTACACTTCCTCCCATATCTCTCACTCCAGTATGTTGTTATGGCAGTGTGCAGATTTGGGACCAAGCCCTCAAGTACCCTCCAGGTATATATTATCATGTACCTCTCTCTCTTCCGCTCCAATGAGTACATGTCCAAGACTTGCAGGCGTTCCCAGTAGTTTAGGTGCTTTACTGGCTCAATATGAGCCGTACACGATCTCTGTATTTGTTCCAGCTCCGATAATTCTCCTGCCCTGAACGGGGCCATCAGCACTGAGCAATATTCTAAGTGAGGGAGCACTAGCGATTTGAAGAGTGTCACCATCGGCATTGTTTCCCTTGTTTTGAAAGTTCTCAATACCCACCCCGTCATCTTCCTGGCTGTCGTGATCTTTGTCTTGTTATGGTCTTTAAAAGAAAGATCCACTGACATAATTATTCCTAGGTCTTTTACGTGTTCCTTACGTTCTATTTGGTGACCCTCTTGAATTTTGTATATAGTGCTCCTTTTGAGTTCTTCATTCTTTCCAGACCTAAGAAGCTGGAACTTATCACCATTGAACGTCATGTTTTCCACTGCCCACTGGAAAACCCTGTTTATGTCTTCCTGTACTCTGTCAGTGTCCTCTACCGTACTGACTTTCATGCTTATTTTAGTGTCATCTGCAAATGATACAAAAGTGTGCCGGGTGTTTTTGTCTATGTCTGCTATGAGGATGAGGAACAGCAGAGGTGCCAGGACAGTGCCTTGGGGCGCTGAGCTTTTGACCTCACTGATGTTGGATCTTGCCCTGTTCACTACTACTTTTTGTGTTCTGTGTTAGGAAACCGAAAATCCATCTGCCTACCTTCCCCGTAATGCCCATGGCCTTCATTTTGTGCGCTATCACTCCATGATTGCATTTGTCAAACGCCTTTGCAAAATCTGTGTAAATCACATCTGCATTTTGGTCGTCTTCCAGTGCCTCCGTAATTCTGTCATAATGGTTCAGCAGCTGTGACAGACATGATCGTCCTGCTCTAAAACCATGCTGGTTCGGGTTATGTTGGTTGTGCTGCTCCATGGAATTTGTAACCTGCCGTCTCAACACTCTTTCGAAGATTTTTATGATGCGAGAGGTTAGGGCTACTGGTCTGTAATTTTTAGCTAGTGCTCTACTACCTCCCTTGTGCAAAGATGCTATGTCTGCACTCTTTAAGGCCTCTGGTATTTCACCTAGATCTAAGCTCTTTCTCCAAAGAATACTGAGGGCTCTTTATAAATTGAGTATTCCATGAATCTGGTCCAGGTGCTGAGTGAGTGGGCAGGTGTTTACAGTGAAACATATAAGTGAACAGTACTTAGATAAAGCTAAAGAGGTTTTTGTGGCATTTATAGATTTGGAAAAGGCGTATGACAGGGTGGATAGGGGGGCAATGTGGCAGGTGTATGGTATAGGAGGTAGGTTACTGAAAGCAGTGAAGAGTTTTTACAAGGATAGTGAGGCTCAAGTTAGAGTATGTAGGTAAGAGGGAGATTATTTCCCAGTAAAAGTAGGCCTAGACAAGGATGTGTGATGTCACCGTGGTTGTTTAATATATTTATAGATGGGGTTGTAAGAGAAGTAAATGCGAGGGTCTTGGCAAGAGGCGTGGAGTTAAAAGATAAAGAATCACACATAAAGTGGGAGTTGTCACAGTTGCTCTTTGCTGATGACACTGTGCTCTTGGGAGATTCTGAAGAGAAGTTGCAGAGGCTGGTGGATGAATTTGGTAGGGTGTGTAAAAGAAGAAAATTAAAAGTGAATACAGGAAAGAGTAAGGTTATGAGGATAACAAAAAGATTAGGTGATGAAAGATTGGATATCAGATTGGAGGGAGAGAGTATGGAGGAGGTGAATGTATTCAAATATTTGGGAGTGGACGTGTCAGCGGACGGATCTATGAAAGATGAGGTGAATCATAGAATTGAGGGGAAAAGGGTGAGCGGTGCACTTAGGAGTCTGTGGAGACAAAGAACTTTGTCCTTGGAGGCAAAGAGGGGAATGTATGAGAGTATAGTTTTAGCAATGCTCTTATATGGGTGTGAAGCATGGGAGGGGGTAAAGGAGGTTTTGTGTGCGAGGGGCTTGGACTTCCAGCAAGCATGCGTGAGTGTGTTTGATAGGAGTGAATGTAGACAAATGGTTTTTAATACTTGACATGCTGTTGGAGTGTGAGCAAAGTAACATTTATGAAGGGGTTCAGGGAAACCGGCAGGCCGGAC